CTGAAAGCCACTGAACTGGATACAATTCTTTCCAGACTTCTATAAGAAATTCATAATGTGAAAAACTCTCAATGAATGACTGAGCAATGAGAAAAAGGATTGAGATGCCATACCAAAGAAAAGAGCAGAGGCCAGGAAGACAGTGCTGCAGTGGACTGGGGAAACGAAGTCTCCAGGACAAAAAGGAAACATAGGTAAGTCAGCTATGCCACATCTTGCCACAACTTCTCTACTCAGCACACCACCTCTGAAGGTTCTCTAGGTTCTCAGACAAGGAAGACTATGAGAAATTGCTGGCATGGCTTCCACCTTTCTTGAAAACATTTCTTCAAGGTATCCCAGGTGGTGAGGACTATAGACCTGATTCCTCCAGAACCAAGATGCTAGACTAGATAGTTGCCTCTGAAAGTGAAAGAAGAAGCAGACTAAAAGAAAGCCTACAAGCAGTTCAGAGTTGCTTTGCTGTGTAGTTCATTCACCTGGGACTGAGAAACAGGACTCACACCATGACTACGTTGGCTATCGGATGTCCTCATTGACACCGACAACAGAAGTTGGCTAAAAGCAAATGAATCATAGGACATTGTTCCAGCTGAGGAAGAAACTTGGTAGGGGAGCAAGGTCACTTTATCTCAGCTCAGAAAACGAGACTCAAAAAATGCCTAGTGGCATCCTGCAGTGGTCCAACAGAGAGGAAAATTACCTTGGAGATCATGCTTCCAGAGACCAATATGATTCAGCACAGCATTCAATTACCCATCTTCTAAGCACTCCCAGATCAAAAGTGAAAGAGATGGTCCATGACTAGCTGATCAGCTCATTCCAAACCCCCCAAGTCATAGCAACTGGTATAGGAATGGGCATATGCCCTCAGCCAGATAAATGACAGTAGAGTATGGGACATTTTAGAGTTATGAAAGAGAGACTCCTATTGTGTCTCTGGTGTGGTAGACAAAATCCTAAAGAACTATTTAGGAATCACTGTACCCTGATTGTTCAATCAAACTCCAATCTAGATACTGCCTCTGCATCTGTGAGACATCAGGAGATTTATTATTATTAATTATTATTATTATTATTGACTTAGGTCTCCTGAATCCTGATTGGAAAATATTCTAGACTTGAGATATGTCAATGTCTCATTCACTTTAAGCCTTGGTCTTAGTTATCCCCCATGCCCATGTAGTTAATAAGCATTTATGAATCAGAAAGATGTTTGAAAGATGAATAAAAATAAATTATTTTCACTCTTGCCACCCATAGAATCTCATTCCTGGCTTTAGTTCTAAATGAAAAAAATTAGATATAGAAGAAGACAACTCAGGCGAATGGTAGGAGGTTTAACTGGTTTTTCAGAAACAAGCTCTTACAACTTTGACCTTGAAGCCAAGGTCAAAAACTGGAAGCCACAGACTGACAAAAAACAAACAAATGGAAAAAAAGTAAGACTACAGGAATCAAATTCATACTCAAGCTGAGTGGGAACAAGAAATCAGTGGGGATTTCAGCCCATGTGGAAGCATGGGAAATACACATGGAGCTATGTCACACCATGAATTACCATGCTAGATGTCAAGAATGTGTCAAATAACAGCTGTGGAACCACACTATAGCCAAGCCCCATTTGTCAGTGACAGAGCAAGTGGAAACGGAAGTTCGAACATAAGAAATGAAATATGAGGTGTGAGATTTGGGGAAAATATACTGTACATATGTAGTATCTTATAATTGTAACTATGTATATACAACTTTAGGGTCTATGAAAACATCCAAAAAATACTTGCAGACTGCGCTTCTCATGAAGGTTTTTTTCCCCTGCTCTTGTTTGTTTGTTTGTTTTAGGTTTTTGCCTGAGGCTTGCCAGGAGAGATAGAGAAAATCAAGGAAAGACAGAGAGGAAAAGTAAGAAATCACCCCCTAAGTAGGATGGCTTTGCTACAATCCCTTCTCCATTCTCTTCTTGGGCACCAGGAGAGAGAGAAAATGAAGGAAAGCCAGAGAGAGAAAATGTAAGAAATCACCCCCTAAGTAGGAAGGCTTTACTGCAATCCCTTCTCCATTCTCTTCTTGGGATTTTGGGCATGCACACACATGCACCCAGTGAGATATTCAAGCTGCCAGGTCCAAGACTCAAACCATAGTTGGCCATGTGGGAATATAGCATCTTAACCACCATGCTACCTGCTGGCCCCTCAAGGACTCTTTTTTTATTTTAGACAAGCATGACGGTGTGGAATGAAGAGTGTAGATTAAGAACTGGTGGATTCTCTTTAGAGAGTTATAGGGCTGGGAGGGGAGGGGTTAAATAAATAAAGGAATAAAGAGCAATGAAGAGAGCCAACACAACAAAAAATCTATTGCATTTTATGTATTCTATTGCCCATTTAGAGATTAAAAAAAAAAACCTGTAAAAAGCCAACTTTACAAAGAGGCCATAAAGTAGCTCATTAATGATAATATTTTAATAAATACAGTCAATAACAACTGATCATAATAGTCAAAACAAGAAACAAACATGATAAATAATAAATAAACATATAATAAACAAAGTAAATAATATCTACAACTATATACCAAACACGGATGAACCTCACAATATAATGTCAAGCAAAAAAAGCCAGATGCAGAAGAGGATGCATATCCACATATCAAAAACTCAAAAATGGACCAAACAAATCTATGTCAGTCTGAAGAGGAGTTATCCTCACAGGGGGAGTAGTAACTAGAAGGAATCATAAGCAACCATGTAAATGCTGATTGCCCACTTTCTAAGAATTCATTCAGTTGTAGACTCATGATCTGTGTGCTTTTTTGTATGTATTTTCAATTTTCATTAACAATAACAAAGCAATGTTTTCCATTAATGTTCCACAGGACTCTGTCACCAAAGAATGTTAGTAGTTAGTTATTCCACTAAAAAGGTTAGTATTCACTATGTTTGAGAAATGTTCGGAAAGATGGAAGTAAACAGATTCCTACTCTCCAGGATGTCCCCATCAAGGAGGGTGAGGGCTTCTCCTTACAAGGCCTCTGCCCACTCACACGGTGCACCTTCAGGGTTCTCTAAGGTCTCTTCTAGTCTCCCAAATTTTGACCACACATAAACTGCATGCAAGAACATGGGTCTGCACACACATTTGACCTCCTGACCACAGCAAAATCTCTTTGCACACGTGCTCACTGTCTTCTACCAGTCTGGATCAGCAGTGCCACATTTTGCATGGAAATATGTACATTTTTAGAAGATTTTATTTGTTTTATAATTTCTTATTCACATTTAATTGTCATACACCTTTGTGGGATTCAATATACTTATTCAAAGCATGCAGTGTATGATAATTAAATCAATGACATGCATTCTTATTCATCATCTTCAACAAAGATCATTACATTACGTTGTGCTTCTTCCTTTTTCATCCCACTAGGGGTTTTTTGTGTGAAAAAAGAATACATATATAGATGTATGTACATACATATAATTATGATATAGATAGACGGTATAGATATAGATATGATTGGCATGCACATTTAAAGGAAGCACTGCCTGGTCTTTCATATGCACGTCTTCATTCAGTGCTCTTGTGTCTATGTAATCCCAGAGCAGTGAGCTGGCACATTTCATGTCATTTGCAAATACAATACAGCAAAGGAATACAGAAAAGCAGATTTTCAAACAGAGCTTATCACAACTGTGATTTAGGAATTCACAAGTAATCTCAGCATCTCCTAGGTTTCCAGCTCAAAAATCAAGAGTTTATCCCAAATGCTCCTATCACGAGTTGACTCAAAATCACCCAATTTTTCTAGTCACTTATGTCAAAACAAACCATTGCTTCTTTACAAACGTTTTGCTTGTTCACAGTAGGGCAGACAGCTGCATCATTGATGCAGGCTCTCGCCTCTTTTCTCTTAAACTATTTTTCACTCTCGTTACCATGAATGAAAGTGTGAATCTGGGGGTTGTATCTATGTGCACACACAAAAACAAACAAACAAAAAAACAGCATTCTGTGTTCTTTTTTTAGGACATTTTCCACAACTTTAGCTATTTAATTTGGTTTAACCAGGCAGTTGGTTTCCCTTTAGCTATTCATTTCTACCAAGTTCCACCAAAAAGAAAAAAGATAAAAGAAAAAAAGAAAAACAATCACCTAAATTTAATTAAATATCTTATTTTATTTTATCTTATTTTTGCTTTTTTGGATGCATCTTCAAAAATGCAAAATAAACTAACTATCTGCCTCCAGTCTTTTCATTCTGTTTCCTATAATTCTATAATCAGATATACCACATACCACCTACAGCTCCTTCATCTACAATGAGGACAAGAAAAACCAGACAAGGTATTCTAAACCAATGTCTTAAGCCAAGGCATTTATAATAACAGATAGCCTAATTATATTATATTGTTTCCAACAGCAGAATTAAATTATATATTTCAAAGAAATTCTAGAACAAGCTAACTAACATTGTGATGTCCAGTTTAGTGGGAAATCATTTGGGTTGGGAAAATATGGCTTTGCATGTCTCAAAGCATACTGAGAAGACTATACTGGAAGTAGCAAACTACATTACGTTCAGTGGACAAACAGTAAGTATGATTATGTGGAATGCAAAAGCCATTCAAAAAAAAAAAAGAGAGAGAATGAAAGAGATGCAGATAAAGTAAAGTTTAGAGAACATTTTACAAATGTTGACTGTCACAGTGACTGTTATACAATCCTAAAGCAAAGTTAAAATCAGTATAATGAAATGACTGCTAGACTTGGGTTAAGTCCAAGACATAGTGAGCTGTCTCAAAAATAATAGTTTACATGTGTTTGCTCCAGAGTAAGGAAAAACATTACCAACCGAACAAAGAACTACAAGCATGACAAGGTCACTTAAGAGCAAAAATACTTAAAGTTTTAATCAGAAAGAATCCCTAGTACTATAAACAAGAATGATAAATCCATGATTGACTGATCCAAGTTCATGTAACTAGCAATGATTGTACCCACCTCATTTAAGTCTTGCTGAGTTTCAAAAGCATCCTTTGGCCAAATGACAGCCCTCTGGTCTACTCTATAAAATATAAAGGAAAATTATTTCCATTTAACAGAAACCTTTCAACAATGCACATTTAAAGCTGGTGGCTACAGACCTGGACTTCTGTTAGAAATTCTTAGTGGTGTGCCACTGCCTATAGAATGAAATCCAGACTCCTGACGATGGCTGTGACACATTACACTTAAACCCTGACGGCATTCC